TCAATGCTCTCTTATGCTATTAAATTTAATAGGAATTAAATGCAATTAATCATGGCAAATACTCAATTTGTTTCTGCTTTAAATATGTGAAATATGTGAATTAAGAGCTCTCCATTTATGCTGCCTTAAATCTTGAAAAAATAGCTGATAACAGTTCACATATGTCAGTTATAGTAAATTACTCTGAGTGTCTCATATGGCAATATTTCTTAGTCGTTAATGGACTTCTCTTCCTACTTAAATATATTGTTGGGGGAAGGTCCAAGTTTTTTCATTCATAAATTTTGACATTAGCATATTGCATTTCCATTGCGTTAATGTGACAAAATGACAAATGAAGTTGGTTTCGCCTCCTTTCAGTCGCTTGTAGTGCCAGTCGAAACGAAAGCCGTCTGTCTGGTTTCATTTCCTTCGCCTGCTTTCCGGTTGCTCGAATGGTATTTTATGCGTTTCGCGGCAAACTGCACTTGAATTTGCATTTGCATTTTTCCGAGCGTGGCAAAAAGCAAAACACTCTGACAAGCGTTTACAAACTCGCCAGTGCGACAACGCCAGCAACAAGCCAAGTAGCGCGGCAACTTTGAAATTGATAAATTGATTTATGCAAACAAAACAGAAAGAAATAAGGAATCTCCGGAGATGAAACTTGCTTGACTGCACCATACTATATACACGTATATATATTTGGATCCGTTGAATATGAAAAATGACGATGAGGGGGCGAAAACAAAAAATTTGTAGCCCAACCCGCAGGCTAACACACACAAAAAAAATAGACATTTAAATCTGAGGCTCAGACGTTCGGCACTGGTACATACAAAATCAATTAATAAACAATATGAAACGAAATTTGCAATTGTTCGTATGTCCGCCGCAGACTTGGCCTCTCGACGGCTTTTGTGGCTATTTTAGCTGGAACTAAGGCTTTTCTGTAAAAGCCGCTTCGCTTGTTTTTCCCCAGCGCCGCTTTATGTCACTCTTCAGATCCATTGTGTTGGGATTTGGTGCCATTACTGTTGCTATGGTTCCTGCTGTCTGCTGAGTGACCCACGCCTCCTCACGTTTCAAATAGCAGCTCCACATCGGCAATGCCGATGCTCCACATTCCCGTATCAATTTCCATTTTTTTGCGAAAACACTTTCTGTTGTCGCTGATGCTAACATATCTATCTATATATATACACCTGCGGTCAATATGGAAAAATGGAAAAATGCAAATAAATTAATTTTTATAGGTAGTTAACTTTAGTTGCCAGGATATTTTCAGCTGATTGGGAAAACTATTGCATCGCAAAAGAAAACATTTAGGTATATAATATAATATAATAAGAGTACTTTATTATTCACCTTATTTTTAGGCACTAAATGTTTTTAATCGCTTAAAATCGATAAGAATCTGCGATTTTAAATACGTTTTAACATTTTTTTTATTGCTTTTTTTAAAAAATATCAATTTCTTTCCTTAAGAGTTTTCTCTAAAGAAAGGCCAAAAATGTTGGTGTGCTTAAACATAGATATTTGTTAAGATATAAGCATAGCTTATAATTCTATTACGGTTTTGATAGCATAAAACATTAAATAATTTAAATACGATTTTAAATACGTTTTAACATTTTTTTAATTGCTTTTTTTAAAAAATATCAAGTTCTTTCCTTAAGAGTTTTCTCTAAAGAAAGGCCAAAAATGTTGGTGTGCTTAAACATAGATATTTGTTAAGATATAAGCAAAGCTTATAATTTTATTACGGTTTTGATAGCATAAAACATTAAATAATTTAAGTTTTGTGTGTCTCTTAACACAACAACTGCTATATGGCACTACTATTTTATTAGACGCAACTGTGTAAGCCATGATAGCAGTATGATTTTGATCTGAAATTGTGTCTATATATGTATCTTTGCATGTGCGCTGCGACATTTAAACCGTAAGGACAAACAATTGTACCCATAGTATATGGTAAACAAGTCACGTGCCACGTGTGTTATTGCTTTCCGTTGCCTTTGATTTTGAGAGTGGCGATGAAGGTGGATGCAAGAAAGATGTCGACTTAATGGGCGGTGCCACGCCCACTGGTCTGATGCCTGGCTCACAAGTGATTGCCAAAGCAGCTGGCATTATAAACTTAATTAAAATATCGGCAGACAGTAATAAATGACAGCCCCCGAAAGCAGGCAATGTGTTCTTTTAGAAAGGCAAGCGGCAAATATTTAAACGCACACATATTGTAAAGAGAATTTGTATTTATAGACACACACATCCGCCAGCACACACACTACCCCACACACCCTCACCACCACCCACACCCACACAAATGGCGCTACAATCACAGGTAACTGCTACATGTGTAAATATTTACAAAACGCGCCAAGCGTCGACAAACCGACGCCAGTCATCTTCACATTTGCCGCCAACGAGCGACGCTTCATTGTTGTTGCAGCGCGTAACTCTTTCACTTTGTCCAGGTCCGCTACTTGGGCGCCAGCGGGCAACGGGGCCCAAAATATAGCAAGAATTTGTTAAACCTATCCTAAAAGGATAATCTATAGTATCTATGTAGTACATAGTATGTAGTACATTTTATCTTAATAAGTACACTTGCAGATCTTAAATGTGTTTCATGCAAGTCTGAAGTTTAATTTTTTTAAGCTCCATCTTCTAGTTTCATTGCTTATTTGGTAGTATAATATAACTCAAGTGCATTTTAACTTAAAACGTACATTTGGTGACCCATTTAAGTCTGAAACTAAATTATTTAAAAATATGTATTTAAAGGTTACTTTTATGATAAGCTGAGATTACATGATCTAACTATATTTATTAAATGATATGCTAAAATTGTTATTTATTTATTTAACAAATTAATTCTAGTATATAATATTGGAAGCGAGTGTCCTTTGGCCTGGCTCATATTAAAATGTTTAAGATATTATAGCTGAACGCGAGTTTAGATAAATTCGTGTAATTTGGTTTAGGTTTGTGAGAAAAAAGGTTATGAGGAGGGATTGGATTAAAAATGTAACTTATTCAGGAAAAGTTTTTTTGGAAACACTTTTAAATTTACCTAAAGGTGCGCCAGTCTGCTACTGTCTTTCCACTCGCCCACGCAGGCAACCTCAGGTTTATTTATGCCTTTCGATATTTATCGCTGTTGCTCTATTTGTTTTTGTTGCTGCCAGTGCCGCTTCTCTACAATCCCCCTCTTCTGGATGTGGGTAAATGTGTGCCCGTGTGCCTGTGTGTTTTATTCCCTTTTATTATTATTATGCTGTCATTTCTGCTGTCGCGACATTGTCAGCGAACGTTGTGTGTGCTGTGCGGTTCTCTTTTACGGATCCGTACCATGTAGGATATGAAACTCGGAAGCAGACTCACCGCCTGCGTGTCCATGTTTTTATCCCTGAACGGCGACATCGAAAGGGTTTTGGTTGTCCCGTTCGAACCAGCCGTTTTATGGGCCATCATGCCATTGGTAAGGCCCGAAATCAAAACTGTTTACTACTCCAATTTCGTAATTTTCTCCCATTGCACTTGCTGTCGAATATGCCTCATAATGTCAACAAGGCAATATATCAAATGGCCCCTAAGGATGTCTTCAAGTTGTACTTTGTCTAAGGTTGTTGACATAAGGATTCTATAAATTAATAAATGTGGTGCCCAAAAATTCGGAATAAGCAGTTATAAAATTATACTTATGACTAAACTGGTCCCATTATATAAAAAAGTCAAAATGGGTTCTAATAATTTATTAAACACCCAAGAAAGGCATGATTTCCACCCCACAAAAAAATATATCTAAGCTCACCCCCCTTTCGAATGCATAAGTATACTGAAGCATCAAAGGCAAACCGTTTAAACTCTCTGCTCGCCTGCTGACTTTGATATACAGCCATTTGAGTGTCGCTCAAAGTAATAGCAAAAAATAGTGGAGTATGTGGAACAACCCTTAGGGCAATGCAATATATGCATTTCGTGCGATCTGACAGTTTTCCCCTTGCAATTCCAATAGGAGGACGGCAGAACCAACTTATAATAACTTAAATCAATAAAAAAAAGTGTTTTATTATTTAGCGAGGGTAGGAGAAACCAGAATCAAATGGTTAAAGCCATACGGATAGCCACAAATTAAAATTCTTCTTTTTTACAGGCTCATTGATAAACAAATTATTATTTTATTTAGCAAAGTTATACAAACAATAACAAACGCGTGCAAACAAAATATATGGAAATATGATAATGTACGTAGGTAAAGAAACTTTAGTTTTCTGACAGCTTTGTGATAACGCCAACTACTGAGTGGTTATAATATATATTATACATTTTTTTATAAACAACTACACAAAATCTATAATAAGTATAATTACTATTATTAAATAGGTTTAAACAGCAAACGACCGGGGTTAATTTGGCGAATTAAACAAACTCTGGATGTATGTAGATATACACGCGGTCTTTACTAATTGGAGTACTTCCAAAGAGCATATATGATCAAAATTAGATATGTTAGATAATGTATTATACTTTCTATATATTATAATACAAACAAGCTTATGAATTATCATGAACCTAGAGGGCCACTCCACTTGAAAAAAGCGTGTTTAAGCTAAAGGAATTTCATTATTATTATATATAACATATTATATTGACATTTGCATATGTTAAGCTATCTATCTATCAGCTACTTCTAAAATTTAATATTTTTTTTTATTATTATTATTATTGCGAGTCAGGTAAAACATGTCAGAATGACAAACCGCGGTTAAACATTTCGATCCGATTAAATCTGTGTTGTTACCTAATCGGCAAAGCCTGAAATAAAATAAGGTGTTTAATATTGATCGTACATTTAGTTACACAATTAAAAAATATAAGATCGAAAATGTGCACAAAAAAACTGGGGTTGGTAAACAATTATAATAATTATAATTATTATAACATCAGCATTGCAAGCTATATATTGGGTTTCAATTGACATGACCAATAATTCACTTTTGGCGGTTATAATGGAACTAGAAATATTACTACTCACGGTGGTATCCCTGTTAAGCCATGCAAATGGAGCAAAGTACGAACTTTCGGTGGCGGATGAGGATATATTCAGCAGTTGTAATAGTCCTGACCCCGGCACACTCGACATAAACGGCCTTGTGGATTTATCGGAGCTCTCCACATCCATGTCTGCTGAGGGTGTAACCATAAGCGGAAACGCAACTTTAATTTGGGACATAAAACTTGAGGATCGCGTACAAGTGATTAAGAATATCCAACATTTAATGTGAAAACAACTTGAAATATTTTGTATATATGTATTCCAGATGAGCACGAACCTTTTATATTTCGATAGGGGCACTTGGACGCCAACAGTATTCTCAATGGTTTCAAGGGACTTCTGTAAGTCGATGTACGATAAAAATCAGTACTTTTACAAATACTGGACCGGTTATATTACAAACGATATTCAAGATAAATGTGTCAATGTTCCTGGGGTAGGTATAAATACAATTTCTTCATTTAAAAACATATTTTCACGCCATTGCACGGCAGACTAAAATTATCCATAAGACCTATACGTTGAGTTTGACCGCCGATGTCATGGGTCCACTTCGAGAAGGAACCTACAAAGCCCAAATAATGTTCCGAGCTTATGATACCAAGGGATTCGAACGGCCAACTCGCATTTGCTTGGAAATAAGGGGCGACTTATTCAAGGTATAACCGAAACTATGAAGAGTATTAAAAACATCGCATCCGAAAGAGAGTATAGGCAGAAAACCTAAGGAATAAAAGTATTTACTAACAGAATCTTCGACAACAAATAAAATATTGGTCGTTTACTAAAATATGTACGAAATTTATTATTGGTGTGAAGCGTACAAATCAAAGATTTATCATTATGTTTATATATATACACTCAAATACACTTACGGGCTAGGCAGAAATCAGCTTAGGTCTATCACTTAAACAAATGTAGCGTCATACTCTTAATAAGCTACGGACACTCGTCCGAATTCATTAAACGATTGCCAGTGGTCAGCGACAACATGGTCGACACTGCTAACTTAACTAAGACACAGGAGATCGTTGAGGCGTTCATGTTGGCGGGCAGCAGTCGCCGCCGCCCGATCATGTCATATGCGGCGAGGCCGTTGTCGCCGACTTCCCCGCAAAGAATCGACTGCCGCCGGTCTGGTTGGTAAAGAGTAGCGTGTCCACTGAGGGCAGCATCTGGTTAGATCTCACCAGCAGCGGCACATTCACCATGGACACAGACGGTGTCTGGGTGGCCAAACTCGTGGTCACAGACTGCGCTGCGCTGCTACCCGCACTGCTGAGCTTGCCATGCGCATTTAGCGTGAAGGCGGGCAGGTAGTAGTTCCCAGATCTCACCGGCAATGCTTGCGCCGAAGTCGCGGTATTGGATGAGGAGGAGACGGCGGTCAGTTCCATGGAGGCGGGTGACGAGAACGGCGAGGACTCCAGTGAGGGGCAAGCTAGGCGATCGCTGGGCTTACAAGGCACTGCAAATAAAAAATACAAACATTAAAACTCTTTTATCTTAACAAGAAATTTAGATAAAAATCTCTAATTAAACTCAAGATTTGAAACTATATGTTTTAGGATGTCAGGAAACTTACTGAAATCATCATCTGGCAACATATCGTCCGGTAATTCGTTTTTAATCTGAAAGTGCAGAGCAGCGGCCGAGTCTGAGATTGCGTTGTCGGATGTCCCCATCTCGGTGTTCGCATTGGGGGCATCGTATAGGCCGCACTCCTCCATTTCCAGGGCCTGCTCCATGATCAGCTCTTCGGCAGAAGTCAGACTGAGACCGTGCAGGTCGAGGAATGGACCCTGGTTCTGCACCGGCTCCTTCTTGATGTGCGGCACCGCTGGAGCAGCAACGGGCTCCAGGCTGGACTGCTGCAATTGAGGCTGCTGCAGAAGCTGCGGCTTTTGCTGCAATTGCTTCGGCGCCAGCTGCTTACGCTCGCGCTTGGCTTTGGTCTGCTTGGGTGCCGGCGGAGGTAGGGTCACCAACACGTTGCTCAGCTCCTGCTGATGCTGTTGTGCTGGTGGCGTCGGGTGCACCTGCTGCAGAGCTGTGCCCGCTGGCAACGTGATTCCCAATGCGGCAAGGGTGGCCTGCTGTGGCTGCTTCTTTTTGCGTGCCTGTTTTGGGGGCGCCGCTGCTGGCGTAGGTGCAAGATTGGGTTTGACTTTTGGTTCAACAGAAGCGGAAACGTCACCGGGATTCCCTGCTCCAGCTGCTGTAGCCGCCGCCGCTGCCGCTGCTGCTGCTGCCGCAGCCTTTTGAGCCTTGTTGGTCGTTGACTTTTTCGAGCAGTACGAAGGAATGTTCTCGAGATGTTCGCCCGTCTTGTGGTCCACCTTGTGACGGCGTCTCGTGTGCTTCAGCCAATTGGGAAAGTTTGTGAAGTCGCGCGGACAGTAGTTGCACTTGAAGGGCCGCATGCCAGTGTGTATATTAGAGTGTTGCTTTAGTTTTGAGTTGCTGATGAAGCTCTTGTCGCACACGGTGCAGGCGAAGGGTCGCTGCTCCAGATGCACCAGGTTGTGGACCTTCAGGCAGCGCTCCGTCTTGTACATCTTGCCGCACTTCTCGCAGCGGTAGGAACGCGTCTGCGCATGGTACTTCTGGTGGCGCTGCAGATGGGAGCGCTCCTGGAATCGCTTCTGACATTCGGGGCACTCGTACGGCTTCTCCGATGAGTGAATCCGAGCGTGGTGCGTTAGGTTGATTTTCTGAACAAACTTCTGTCCGCAGATGTCACACTGGTATTTCTTATTATCGCTGTGGATTTTCCGGTGCATCCACATACTGCCCAATTTGAGGCTAGAGAGTGTGTGGAAATAGGTCAATAGGAGGGACTAGAATCAAATTTCTGATTCTACTTACCATTTGCCGCAGTCGGGGCACTTCTTCCAGGTGTCCTTGCGTCCCTCGGTGCGGTGCGTTTTCAGATGCTTCTTCAATCCAGCCAGCACCTCAAACTCCCGCTGGCACTCGCTACAGCGATAGGTAAGCCTCAACCGATGGTTTGCCGCCTCGTGCTTGGCCACTTCATCCGGCGTCTCCAGCAGCATCCCATTGCAGTCTAGGCACTTGTTCAGCGGTGCCGGATCCACCTCGAAGGGCTTGGCTTCCGAAGCGACTGATGGTGGCGGCATGCTGACCGCATCTGCGGCAACCGCCTCAGCCGACTTGGTCTGCTGGAAGATGGTGAACGACGGCGGCAGGAGCTCGGACTCGCACAGCTCCACCTTGGTGACCACTTGCTCTGGCGGGTGCTTCTCCTCGGGCGGCTCCTCCTTAAAAACCTTTAAACGCACCGCCGTTGCCGCCGGCAGCTTGGGTTTGCTGCGCTGCAGCAACTGGGGCATTTGCATCTGCTGCTGCTGAATCTGCTCTGGCGATAGCTTCAGGGGCGTGGATGCACCACTGGAAGAGGTCTTCTTGAAGGGTGAGTTGGTGAAGGCGTTCGGTGGCTCAGGACGCAGGAAAGTCACATTAAACTCAGAGCCGGAGTGGTTATCACTGGCCAAACTGCTGGACACGGCGGCGGAGGAGCTGCTGGCCGCCGCCAGGTCATCGCGGCAGACGTCCGAGGAGAGATTCAGCTCGGTGTTGTTCTGGGCACTCTCGTCCAGGACGCGCCAGAAGTCCGTGGAGGAGAGGCTATTGCCATTGACGAAGCTGGCCGAACTGATGGTCACGCAGGCCGACAGATCGATGTCCAGCGACTCGTCCTTGATGCTCGATATCGAATCAAAGTTGTTGATCCGCAGCAGCGAGCTGAGGATCTCGTCGTGGGCCGCCTTCGTGGGGGTGCCCGCATCGCCGCCGTAAATTTTAGGCGGCAACTTCTTGCTTGGCGCCTCCTCCGCCTTCATTCTCTTGCCCTTGCCGCCCTCCATTCGCCTTGCCTTGCGTACACGTACAGGTTATGCGGTCGGCGTTTTCGCTCGCCGTATTTTTGCTTAGTTCGCAGCGCCGCTGGCGCTTCACAATCACTGGTCGTCTTTATCCGGTCACTGGGTCCTTAATTCACTCATTGCAATCGCTTTTGCTGGGTTAAGCGCGCCGCAATTGATCGAAAAACATTTAATTATTGTGAAATGCGCCTCGGCTTTGTTGTTTTTGTCACGCTTACAATTCTCGAGTCGCCATTTTGAGAACAGTGTTGCAAGACGCGCCGCTGGATGGCAGTCCCGCCAACAGTGTTGGCTGCTGGCGGTTTTATAGCTATATATGTATGACTCCACTAATTGGGTACTAAATATGTGATTAAATAACTAAAACTGTTTTCTTTTACTAATAAAGCCACCTTTAAAATCTATGAAATCTATATAACCATAACATTGAGTTCTAGACTTTGGCTTATGTTGTAAAAAATGTTTTTATTCTGACCACTATTAAAAACTACTAACAAGTCCAAACAGGAAGATATGTTTTTTTTTAATTCGGTAATACATAGTTCTGTTTTTTCTTTCTTAAGGGGAGCTAAAAGTAAGTTTCAAACAGTCAAGCGCCATATTATTTCCCCAATTACATGTATTATTAATTACAAATTTTTGGAGGACGAATACAATTTTCTTTTGAGAACCCGAATGTTCATAGATTTATTTCGTTAGTGGTAAACATATGTATATATCGAAAAGTCACAAAATCATCGTTCAATTATTTAAATTATATAGATTTTACTTTTCAGTTGAAAGTATTTTGTTGAATCACGTATCGTATATTATGTTTCTAAATGTAGTTGCAAGCAATATTAAAAATTGTTCGAGCCTCAAGAGGTTCGTTTGAGTAAACATTTTGTTACCCAATTTATTTTTTGACAGTCCTTTTTATTTTATTTAGAAGTAAATTTTCATTAACTTATTTATTGAATTATATATATGGCTATTTACCCGCTAGAACTAGCTAGTTAGTATTTTAACGGTATGCATTATTCTTTAAAGTACATAAATGGTATCCAATGGTATTTTTTACACACTAAAATACTTTTAGCGCTTTGTAATAAACATGGCGTCAGAGGGCGAAAACGTTGTGATGGAAAGTCCAGGTAAAGTCCAATTTTTGAAATATTGCTAGCTCCATTCGACCGCAACGAAGTGGCCGGCGACTAATTACTCAGTTCGGATAAGGATAGTCCGAAACTTGACATCGTCAGTCATTTTGAACAGGCCCAAAAAACCTTTTGAAAAAAACGAGAAAATCACGAGGCACCGAACTCCGAATACCGCGCGTACAGTTTATGTAAACCGCATGGATTAACTAAAATAGTTAATTGCCGTTTTCCAGGTCGACGCACACGTTCCGGACGCAAGGCCGCATCGCCGGCTGCATCATTACCAACTCGGAGCACCCGACGCACATCCAAGCGGAACATACAGGTTTGTAAATCACTCCTAGTTACAACTTACTTTTCGACGACACACTCCAAATGATGTAAACGATTGCAATTTCAAGTGCGGATGTGGCGTTGTTCCATCCGCACATGATTTCCTCCCTGGAGGAGCAAGTGATTACCTGCAAGGGCCAACTGATGGCAAATAATCTACAGAATCAACTTGCACTACCTGTAACAACTATTAACCCGCCTATTCTTGCAGCTAAGCGACCACGAAGAGGAACCCGAGGAGCAGGTGGTCATGATTCTGGATGAGGAGGAGCCATTTGCAGGTGCGACCACCGAAGAGGCTGCCCCGCTGGAGCCCCAGTTCGAGGAGACGCAGCACCAGCTGGACGACGATGTGGAGATGTTGACGCCCGCCGAAACTGGCGGCGTGGATGAGAAGAGCTCCTCCTTTCCGTTTGGCACGGTGGCGGAGCAGCATTCAGAGACCAGCGATGATATTAAGGAGAGTCGCGGCCAGGCCGGCGTTGATACTTTGCTAGCCTCAATGGCCGGTGATAATGCCAATAGTTTACCCTCCGTGGGTGGAAACGATGAGAGTGACAACGCAAACAAGAAGGCGGACTTTGAGTACAATGTGGAGGTCCTGCAGCCGCAGCCAGAGAAACTGAATTCATCTGAGGACTCTAGCTCCCACCATGCTATAGCTGAGGATCTGGCCGACGAGGCGGACACCAGCAATGCAACCATAGTCAACACAGAGATCATCTCAGAGGACGAACTACCTCCTCCCAGCAAGCCGGAGATCAACGATGCCGAGGAAGTGTCCGACGAGGAGCTTCCGGCACCGCAAAGGGCCGAGCTTCCAGCGGATGCTGAGGTGATCTCCGAGGACGAGCTGCCCACCCACAACAACAACAATACCGCTAGTGAGACGAAGGCTCCTGTGAAGCGCAAGGCGGATATAGAAACAGATAAAGACACTTTAGATAAGGCGACAATCAGTCGTGAAACGAGCGCAAAAGAAAAGTCTGAGGAACAATATAATCCGGGGAGTCCCACGTCGGAGAGCAATGATGCACAGCCCTCGGAGAAAAGGGTGAAAATTGAAGGTAATTAGTTATAATCGGAAACTAACTTGATGCAAAATACTTAATACTCAAATCAACAGAATCCGAACCCAAGGACAAGAAGAAGGAAAAAGAGCGTGATAAGGAGAAAGATAAGGAAAAGGATAAGGATAAAGAGAAAGATAAGGACAAGGACAAGGAAAGGGAGCGTAAAAAGCTTCCCGACCTAGATAAATACTGGAGGGCTGTCAAAGAGGACTCCACCGACTTCACCGGCTGGACATACTTGCTGCAGTATGTGGACAGTGAGGTGGGACAATCGCATTTAAGATGATCTTTTAGACTTTAAAATAATGTAATTTAATTCTACTCTAGTCCGATGCGGAGGCGGCTCGCGAGGCTTACGACACATTCCTGTCCCACTATCCCTATTGCTATGGCTACTGGCGCAAGTACGCCGACTACGAGAAGCGCAAGGGCATCAAGGCCAACTGCTATAAGGTGAGTACCTACCATACATTCGGTCGTGCAATTAAATATCTTTCGCAATTTCTTGTATTACGCTTACAATTACGATTACAATTGATATTCATATATTTGTTGTTAAATGCAATTTATTATGACCTAATAAAAACTACATTCAATAAATGCAACATCTACAAAAAAAAAAAAACAATTTAAGAATACACATCCAAAACTTTAGTAGTAAAACCTCCAGTCAGGGTCGTATTTTCTTAGACGTTAAATGTTTATTTCAGGGAATGAAACTGGTTTCAGTTTCGGAGCATTTTAGAATTTAGGTGGGGAAATCACATAAAGGTGGCTTGTTTTTAAAAGAGCTAGAGATAAAAAAGTTGTTTACATAATTTCAAAGAAATTGTTTTTCATTTGAGCTGTCAATATTTTGGTTGTTAAAATTGTTTACAAATAATTTGTTACCTTTTTATTGTGGCTTTCCCACTTAAATGACGTAGCATTTTTAGTTTCGGTTTCTTACATCCAACTCACGTATCCTTTAATACCGATGACAATTGTTTAGAGATAGACTTGACTATATGTACATTTTTATTGTCGTATTCACCACTTTTACCAAGTACCATTTTGTTCAACCCATGCACATTTTTGGGAGATTTTTGTCTCTGGAATATAACCAAATTGCTTCACGACACAAATTTGATGTTCTCAGTACAATTCACCACTGTGTCGCACAACTCACGTTGTAGCCCAGCCCAATTTAGCTCAGCTTAGCTCAGTTGACCTCTGAACCCTTGAACCCCAGACCGACCCGAATCCGATTCTGAAAGCGATTGACTTGTCGAGTCGCTGCTCGATGTTCGATCCGTCTACTTTTTGATCTTCGTACGTTTGTATTACCAGTTTACCTCTTCAGTTACGTTACCTCCATCCTTCTTCAACACGATATAAATAGTGAGCTCTCGCATCTCGTACATTCGTAAGTACAAATGGCGTTTAAATGAAATTTTTAAGTCTTTTTGTGAAGTTTCTTGTATATCGAACACTTAAAAGTGTGTGCCTAAAAAAGAAAACAACTACAACTACAACTACAACCTGTGTGTTATGTATTCCGTGTATCTGTAAAGTCGCTAAGTTAGTCTTTAAGCTCAAACACCATTCACATTTAACGTTAGACTTAAGTCTCTGAGCACTTAAAGCTTGAAAGATTACTATAAACCACAAAAATTTCTATATTTCTCTTCTGCGTTCGATCCAACTATAATTCAAAAATCGAAAAACCAAAAAAAAAAAAAAACAAACAAAAAAACGAAAACTTGTACCCCGAACATACGAAAATGACCAAATCCTAGGTGTTTGAGCGCGGCCTGGAGGCGATTCCCTTGTCGGTGGATCTGTGGATCCACTACCTGATGCACGTCAAGGCGCACCATGGAGACAATGAGCAGTTCATCCGCAACCAGTACGAGCGGGCGGTGAAGGCGTGTGGCCTGGAGTTCCGATCGGACAAGCTCTGGGATGCCTACATCCGCTGGGAGAACGAGTCGAAGCGCTATAATCGAGTGGTGCAGATTTACGACAGGCTACTAGCCATACCCACTCAGGGCTATAATGGCCACTTTGACAAGTGAGTTGGTCAAAACACACACCTCTTATCAAGGGCCGATTATATTGTAGCACTTGCCTTTACAGTTTCCAGGATGTGATCAATCAGCATGCTATTACCAGCACAATTGGCAACGAGGAACTCGTCCGCCTGCGCAAAGAATTCCATGAACGTCAGCAGAGCAAGTCCTCCAAGTCCTCGTCCAAGCACCGTCGTGATAGCAGCAGCTCCAAGGACAAGGACAAAGACAAGGATAAGGACAAAGACAAGGATAAGGACAAAGAGAAGGAAAAGGAGAAATCTAGCGGTGGTGCTGGTAAGTCGCCCAAAGATATTAGTGAAACTCATGTCGATGAATCAGATAGTACCACCGATCTGACCGAAAGCGAGTCATCGACTGCAGCTCCAAAGGCCTCACTGCCTCAGATCGATTTCAGTGATCTTAGCACGCTAAATGATGAGGAGGTGGCCAGCATAAAGGACAGGGCCATATCGGCGCGGCGCAAGATTCACAAGGTGACCGTGGGCGCAGTGACTGCCCGCTGGTCCTTCGAGGAGGGCATCAAACGACCCTACTTCCATGTGAAGCCCCTCGAAAGGGCGCAGCTCAAGAACTGGAAGGACTACCTGGACTTTGAGATTGAAAAAGGAGATCGCGAGCGCGTCTTGGTTCTGTTTGAGAGATGCCTAATCGCCTGTGCTTTGTATGACGAGTTCTGGCTGAAGATGCTTCGCTATCTGGAGTCCTTGGAGGACCAGAGCGGAGTCACCAAACTGATTCGCGATGTCTTCAGTCGCGCCTGTCGCATCCACCATCCGGATAAGCCTAGCCTGCACCTCATGTGGGCCGCCTTCGAGGAGTGCCAGCTCAACTTCGATGCCGCCGCCGAGATACTGGAGCGCATCGAGCAGCGTTGTCCCAATCTCCTGCAGCTGGCCTACCGACGCATCAACGTGGAGCGACGTCGCGGAGCGCTGGACAAGTGTCGCGAGCTGTACAAGCACTACATAGAGAGTACAAAGAGCAAGGGCATTGCCGGCAGTCTGTCCATCAAGTATGCCCGTTTCCTCAACAAAATCTGCCACGATATCGATGCGGGTATGGCTGCACTGCAGCAGGCACTGGAACGCGATCCGGCCAACACTCGGGTGGCCCTGCAAATGATCGATCTGTGCTTGCAGCGCCCCAAAGTGGACGAACAGGAAGTGGTCCAGATCATGGACAAGTTCATGGCCCGCGCGGACATCGAAGCCGATCAGAAGGTCCTGTTTGCCCAGCGCAAAGTTGAGTTCCTCGAGGACTTTGGCAGCACGGCGAGGGGCCTGCAAGACGCCCAACGCGATCTCCAGCAGGCTCTAAGCAAGGCCAAGGAAGCGCAGAAGAAGAGGTGAGAATACAAGATTTAATCATTCTCTTTCTACAATTGCAGAGGTTATTTATAAAATTGAGCACAAGTTTGTAATGCAGTAAAGTATTTATATTCCTGATAAGCTTCCCTGGAAGAGTAGATCTAGCGGTGTCCGTTTGTCTGTCCGTTTCTATGCAAGGAAAGCTATCTGTATGAAATACACACAACCTCTCCGTTTCAGAAATTAAATAATAATATATCATTAAGGTTTCGTAGAAGCAATTGGGAAATGAAATGGAAAGCAAATTAAACCTTTGCTGTTTTTAAAGTTATACAAATATACTTTGGGGTAGTACGTAATGGATTAATATTTCACATTGGTTTTAATTTTATCAAAATCGAAAAATTTTGCTTTCTTATTTTCTTGTTGAAATCAAATTTTGTATTTCTCCTTGCAGTGATAGCAGTCCTAGTCGCAAGAATTCCTCGGGTGGCAAAGAGGGTGCCGCTCCTTCCGGATCTGGATCCTCATCCTTGGCGACGGCCTACAACAATGGTGGAGCGGGCGCGGCAGCGGCAGGCTACAATTATGGAGCGGCCAATGCCGCCGCCTACTACGGCCAGCAGAGTGCCGGCGGCGGAGGAGGACCCTATCCGCCACAGCCGCCGCAGCAGCAGGCCTCCTACGACTCGTACTACAATCAGTGGGGCTATGGACCGGGTGGCGCCAGCAGCGGCGGCGGCAGCAGTAGTGGCGCCGGCTACAACTACGGCCAGTGGAGCGGCTATGGCAACTACTACTGAGAGTTAAGCTTAAATGTAATCCACCTCCAGCCACTCCCACTCCCACTCCCACTCCCTGTAGCTCTAAGACGCCCGCCCCCAAACTCGATTAATTACGCCTTGCTCTGCTCTGCTCTGCTTTGTTAAGTTATAGACTTCTAATTTTAATTTTATATCGCGATTCCTAATAATACATATGGTTATGTAAGAGACAACAACAAAAACCACCACCACCACCAGCCCACAATGCGTAAAATAAAGGATATCAGCTTAATCGGTTCACCATAAATCTTACTGCTTGTATTTATCGCCAAGAGGTTCTTCTTGGGAGAGGGTCAAACGAGCGGGCTGGCTCAACTGAAGTCTAGAGATTGGGACGATACCAGGTCACCTCGCCGCCATTGCAGCCGGTTACGAGGAGCGGCTCCCTGGGGCTGAACTTGGCGCACAGCACGACGTCCTGGTGCTCCGTGATCTTGGCCAGCTCAATTAGCTTCCGTGGCTGCCGCTTGACCTCCTCGAAGGCGTGACACCTGGGATAGTCGCAGCAATCGTCGCTGTAGCCCAGCAATCGCACTCCGTTGCCGTACGGCGAGCACACGATCCTGCCGTCCGCCGAGAAACCCGGCTCCTTGATGAATCCCGGCTTGGTGTTCGTCTCGGCGGCATAGTAGAGCAGCTTCTTGGCATTCACCAGTATGGAATGGCCGTTCTCCTTGGCCGTGGCCGCCGTCGCATGACTAGGGATGAAGGGTCGCAGGCGCAGCCGATGGCCGATCTCCAGGCGCACCGTGGTGTCGCTGTTGGTACTGATGGCGCTGATGGAGCTACTGCTGCTGGAGCTGCTGCTGCTGCTGCTGGAGCTACTGCTGCTGCTGCTGCTGCTCTGGTTGTTCTCCGTTGGCGGCGGGGTGCCCAGCTGGCGATGACCACTGCTGCTGTTGACCATCAGGCGATTGGCCATCGAAGGTCGCAGCGGGAGGACTCCGCTGCTGATGGCATACACAAAGTTGTAGCCGCTCACTTGGTTGTTGGAGTTGCGCGCCCGGTTCTGCCGGATGGCACGCTCCTGGACGGTGACCTCCGCCGCCCAGATGTCCGGTATGAAGGTGTCGGAACGCGGCGAGGCTGGCGCCGTGGCCGAGGCCAGTCGTCCCGTTCCTGGGTTATCCAAATGGAAGACCTGAACGGTGCCCATGCGCAGCGGTCGCCGCGGCTGCCTGGGCGGCGGGCCATCCGTGTCCTGATCCTGGACGTTTAGGCTGCTGCGACTGGCCGTCGTCGTTGTGGATACACGTTTCTTCTTGGGCTGCGGCTCCTCCTCCTCATCCCGCTCGTCCTCGCTGCTCCGCACCGGCTCCTCGTTGATGTCATGGATGCAGGTCCACTCGCTCTGCTCGTCGCAGCTGACGTTCCGGGTCAGCATGCAGCGACAGTGCGGGTGGATCTGCAAGGCCATGATCATCTCGGCGTCATTCTGCTCCGGGAAGTCCGTGACCAGTTCCACGCGGTTCTTCTTCTGGCGCCGGGAGAACACATGGTCGTACTTGGCCGCCTGTGGGATGTACTGTTCGCCCAACTGCATCAGTCTATAGATACCGGGCTGAAAAATGGTGAGGGTTTTGTCAGTTTCGATTGGTCTGGGGCCTATATAGGAGGGGATCCTAAAGAATTCGCTTCTCATTTGGTATTTAAGTTTCTACATCTATCAGTTTCCGATGCCACGAATTGGAAAAATACTATGGCAATTGTGTGGGCCTACTAATTTAGGTTAGTCTGCAGTCTATATACTAAGGGATCCTAAAGTATTAACCACATTGTGGCTTTGGTTTTCACATTCGCGGGTCATTTAGCAATTACAACCTTCTCTTCTTAGAACTTTCTAGTTCTAGTTCTTTTAGTTTTGGTAATACTAAGCAATGCTACGACACTATTGAGTGTTAATATAAATTCTAGTTAGTCCTTAAGTACTTCCTCCTAAGGCTTGGTATTCAGGCTACCAAAACTGCTTCCAAAACAAGAAGCTTCATATAAAAAACAAACGGGCCAACATTTTTGGAATTAAGTTTTTTAAATTGGGAGCAATTTCGGTAGCCTGCCTTTTTTTAAATAACTAGCTCTAGTTATATCAATATTTGTAACACTATTCAGTGTGAATAACTAACAGTGTGACTATAATGCGACGCACGAGTGACAAACAGGAGAACCTCCTTACCCTGAATCCGCACAGATCCTTGTGCAGCGTGGTGAGGTCGAGGTGATGGATGATCATGATGTAGCCACCGCTGGTGCAGAGGACCAGCTTGTCTCCGGTGGGCGAAATGCGGCACCGCATCAGGCCGCTGGCGTGGAAGACGCGCTGCGAGATCAGGCCCTGCTCCGTCTGCGAGTTGATGTCCCAGGTGAAGATGCTGCCGTCGAAGCCGGAGCTGACCAGTAGCTTGTCCTTGGAGGAGTACTCGATGTTCTTCACCCAGTTGGAGTGACCATGCAGGACGCGCAGTTTCTGTTTCATGTTCCGCAGATCCCAGAGGGCCACGGTGAAGTCGTCGGAGCCCGTGGCAAACAATCGTTCGTCGAAGAATCTGTACATATCATACATATGTAGATGGTATATGGATTGGTTTTCCCGGAATGACAGCTCCATCTCCTCTCTCCACTTACTTGATACAGTTCACGCTATCCGTGTGCGCGTCGGGAACCTTAAAGATCTCCTTCTGTGTGATGGCGTCGAAGACCAGGACGCACTTCCTCTCGGTGGCGGCCACCACCACATTGCCGTCGGCATTGAACTCCAGATTGAAGATGGCCCCGGTGCGACCCGCCTCCATGGGTTTGCAATTGGCGTGGTAGCTGTTGAACATGTTCATGGAGCTGTATATCCGCCGCATCACGAAGTTCTCGTCGCCACCGTGGATGTGGAAGCCACTTTCGCGGCGGCTCAAATACCGCTCCATCTTGTGGGGATCTCAAGGAACCTCTATGGTCTTCCAAAGAAACTGATTCGGATCGGAAAACCTTAAAAAATGTGTGTGTGTGTGTGCGTGTGTGTGTGTAGGCCAAATTCGCGATGCAAGTTTCCCCGTGGCCTTTCTTGTTTTTATTCTAAAACGAGGGCTGCAAAATGGTGCTGCAAGTGACCGATTTCTTTTTTACAACTGAATATTTTTAGAATTTACAAAAAACTAAAAACAATGGTAAATGTAGCCATTTCTGTTGTATCCTTATCCCTTATTCTTCCTTTTTCCCTTATTTCACCGATATTATTTATTTGACACAATGGGATCTTTGTATCAATCGATAAAACGTGGAAAATTTTAAATTAAATTAAATATTTATTTTAAAAATAAAGTAATAAAGTTAAAATCCCTAAAGCCCTAAAGTTTTGATAATAACTACTTTCGACTCTGTTTATACGGAAACATTAACGCATGAATTCAGCACAAAAACTGTCCAAGAAAAAAGAAATCCAGAACATATAATAATAATAAATAATAGTGATCTAGAAAATATAAAATATGAAATAAATACCTTTTCAAGCCATAGTCTTATTTTAATTTTTACGCAAAGTAATTCAATTTATAAATAAATTGTATAGTTGGGAGCTTCCAAACTATTTTTAGCTTTGTTAAAAAGCCACTAACTTCTCTAACAACCAAATAAATGTTTAAAATTAATTACTAAAAAATAGGAAACAAATAAAAAGAATACTCATTCTTATACATTTTTTGCGTCAACGAATTTGGAAACATTTAGGTATATTTGTTATAAATAATGAGTTAAAAAAGCATCGATTCTATCGATACCATATCGATTTTTTCCAGCCCCACTTAACAGCACTTTCCAACACTAGCTTCAGTGGAATAAACAAAAATGCTAGTTCTACTTGAGATAAAACAATTAACCATGCTGATTTGTCGTTGATTATAGCCGAGATATCGCCTCAAGACCCGGCCAAGATGGATCGGTTCGCATTCAAGATCGACGCGGCCCTGAAGGCGAATCTCTGCAAGATCTGTCGGCTGTGCGGCATCGATAATCCGGGAAAAGTGCAAATACTGCTGCCAAATGGTGAAGACACCATCGACTTGGACGAGCCCAGTATGTCCCAGAAGATCTACGAACTGTTGGGCTTTACGGTACGTATTATTTGAGTAATCGGTGACCAGGTAAAACAACGCCCTTTTTGTAGGTGGCCATGGACGATAAAATGCCGCAGACAATGTGCAGCCAGTGCGTGGAGAAAATCAATGATTTTTATGAGTTTCGGGAAATGTGCTATGCCACAAACAAGCAAACGCGCAACCTGCTGGGACTAAAGCAAATAGAGCCCACAAAGGTGAGCGACCCCAAAATAGAGTTTGTTACGTAGAAAATGTGTATATTGTTATTTCTCTATTTTTCCGCTCAGCTTATTGATCTGAAACCCATTGTAAAGGAGGAACTGCAGCTTTCTGAAGCAGCTGGCAAACGGGGTAGGAAACGCAAGGGCGAAGACACCAGCTGGCCAAGATGTAACCTTAATGTCAAGCCACAGGTCAAAAAGGAGCCATTTGTGTGGCACAAGAAGCAGCGAATGCAGCCTCCACAGACACAGGCCACCATACAGCCCAAAATTGAGCCGGAAATGTAACTTATTTGTTCCCTAATTTACCCCCATCTCCTAATCATCTAATTTCCGTTGCCACAGCAAAAAGGAGCCGGCTGAACAGGAGACCAGCCTTAGATTGCCACACAAAAAGGGAGGTCGCAAGTCCATTTGCAGCGTCTGCGGCGAGAAATTTCTCAGCAAGGAACTGGCCGATGAGCACAAAACTCTGGTGCATGTACCCTCGATTCCGCGCTACATGTGCAATGCCTGCAACCAGACGTATTACATACAGAGCGACATTCGCGCACATCAGCTGTGGCACAAGCTCTCGAAGACGCCCTACAAGTGTCCGCTGTGCGACATGAGCGTGGCCAATGCCTATGCCTTTGCGCGTCACCTGCGGGAGCACACACCCTCCACTCCCGTCCAGCTGCTCGTCCTGGATCGCGAGTGCCCGCTGTGCAAGAAGACCTTCGTCACGAACTTCTTCTACAACACTCACCGCTGTGCCATCCGCAAACGCAAGTGCGGCGGCTGCAGTCGCGCCTTAAACACTGAGGCCGCCTACATGCGCCACGCCCCCACCTGCCCGAAGATTTACCTCAGTCACTCGAAGCACATAATGCCCGAGGAGGTGACGCATGAGGCCCAGATGCCCATCAAGAACGAGGTGGAGGACGACTTGCTGGGCCTGCCTCCGGCCATTGCTGTGCCGCCGGATTTTGTGATAGACGAGGCCATGCAGCCAATGGTGGTCCTGGAGCGCCTCTCATCGCCTTTGCTGCGCGCTTCGTCTGAGGTTAATCGACTGGGCGCCACCAAGGGCAAAAATAGCGATCGAGTGTCGTCCAAGAAGTACTTGAAACGAGTGGATCAGTTGCTCAAGAACACCATAAGCACGCTAGTCAGCATCAAGCACGAGCCGGAGGTGCACATCAATGACACGGGACCAGCGTTAGAGGAGCCGGAGCGGCATGAGGAGGAACCTTCATGCTATGGCGATGATTTCCAGGCAGCTAACGATGATGACAGCGACGAGGAACCGGAGCAACCGGAGGCAGCATCTGAAGCAGCTGCTGCCACTGCCAGTGACGATGTGCCCAGTGTATCGGTCAAACAGGAACTCCTAGATGACGCCTATGAAAAGCAAATGGGTGTGAAACAGGAGCCACTCAAACTTAAGCTGAAAATAACCAAGAATCATGGCAAGCTAAACTCTTCGCTCATAGACGATCTGGATGAGGCAGGTCAGGCATCTGGCAGAAGTAGCAAAAAGAAAAAGAAGCGAAAGCACAAGGAACGGGAGAAGGAGGCCTTGACGGAGGCAGCAACAGAATCTCAGCCTGTTGTTAGGATCAAACAAGAACCCATTGATTTTGTGCCCGAGGCCATGGTCATGACCACCATACCCATGACCCAATTCGAAAGCAGCTTCAATGACAACCAACAGGACGAGGAAGAGGTTGAGGCCATGGCACAGTCCCAGGAAGATGTTAAGCCCAATCGCATGGAGCTGGATCGTATGATGCAGATTTCGCATGTGGCCAGTGGCGTGGATATGGCTGAAGAGGCTCTGCCTTTGGAGAGAGCCGAAGAAGCCACTCCCGATGAACAAGAGCCGCCGCCCAAGAAGAGCCCGCCAAAGGTGAATTCGGTAAAATCCACGGCACGCAAAAGTACTGGAGGCGCTCAACGCAAGCCGCATACTCCACCCAAGCAGCCGCCTCTGCCGAAGATTGTGGCAGTGGAGAGTGGCGAGGCGGTGGCCTTTAACATGGTGCCCGATATTTCCATCAAGCCGGAGCCCCGCAACCGCGGCTATGGGGATGAACTCGAAGAAGAAGCGGGAGGAGCAACCACAGAAGAGATTAACCACAACGACAAGATGGACGAGGAGGATGCCTACATAGACAGTTTAGATTTGAACAATGTGAGCGTTAAGAAGGAGAAAGACTTGGACATTTCCGAACCAGAGGCCATGCACTGCAATGGATTGGAGAAGGGCGACGGCGATAATAGCGATGGCGACGACACTGGATCATCGGCCGATGAAGCTGAGGAAGCCATGGAGGAGGAGGAAGAGGAGCGCATTTATCGTGAAATCGAGTTGCCGCCACTGGAACCTCAGAACGAGGAACAGGAAGCATCACATGCCACCCAAGCGGTGCCCGAGAGAATGGAACCTTCAGCTGCATTGCCAGCCGGGGAGACACCTCCGCAAACTCCGGAATTATTTGGTGCGGAAAAACCACCAGTGCCTGCTTTCAGTTTGGTCATAACTAATATCTGCAGTCAAGCCACTGAAGAGGTGCAATCCGCGGTAGATATTACCTCTAATATGGAAAGATTCCCGCGTACTGCCATCGAGGGCCAATCTGGGTCAGATTTAGCAATGGCTCTCCCGCCTTCTGCAATGGAGATCCAGCATTCAATGGAAGAACCCACTAACCTTGTCGTACAATCCCAAACAGAGCTTTGCTCTACCACTGAAAATCCTCCGCCCTCCGCAAGTGATATCCAATCATCTATAGAATCGCATATTCAAGTTGAAACCCCCTCCATAGATAATCTCCAAAATCGTTCTTTAACTGCCATAGAAGTACAATCTTCGATTGATGCTGCTCCTAACCGTGAAGGTGGACATCAGTACGTGGAAAATAGTGGATCTAACATTGAACCATTAAGTGCTTCAGTTGAGAGTCAATCCCTGGAAATTGCATCACAAACTCCCTCACTCCCAGCTGAAGACGAGATAGGATCCATACCAAGTGGAAGCTCTGCTGTGGATACCCTTGCAATTCCTATACCCGAAAACCTTGCACACACACCCTCACCCCCGGAATCTCTGGAGAAATCGGTCCACGACCATGACTTGGCAGACTCTCTACCAACGGTTTCCCTCAACGCTCCCGAAAACAGCAGTAGTTCTCCAACTAAATTGGTTAACAGCTATACATGCGACAAGGAGCAGCAGCAGAATGTTCTAAACCAGGAGCTCTCCGAGCAGCAACAGCCGCCATCAGAAGAAATACAGCAGTTGGTTCACGAGGAGCAGCCGGCTATACTTGAGCTGCTTCCAGCGGGATCCTCGTCCACGAGGCCAACTGAGGAGACTGAGAACCGCATCAATGAGCAGCAGCAGCTGCAGCAGCAGCAGGAGGAGCAACGACAACCGCGCTGCCAGGCCAACGATGACTCAAATATCAACGAAATAGCCGAGAACAATAACAATGCCAACATTGAGCGCGAACTGCAAGATGATGCTGCGCTCGGGGCTCAGGAAAACGTAAATCCGTAGACTACGATTAGATGATAGGCCATATTCAATATACAATTACATGTTCTTTTCGATTCTGTTCAAAAATTGTAAATATGTATGGATGGTAAATCGTGCTTAGGTAATTGGATAGCCCCAGCGTATAAACAATACCACAAATTGCGAATAAACTTTTTATGGATAGCATTAGTTTTAAGTTAGATATACACAACTTTATTACATAAATTAATGGCTTATATATTAGCATATGTAAGTATTATGTATTGAAATACATAAATCGCACAAAACTCTTCTTTCGACATGCGTACATATTAATCCAAAATCTGATCCACATAAGTTTCTCGCTCTGACAAGCTTATTGGGTTTAGTTTTAGTAGTTTTAAAAAGTGACATAAAACAAACATATACGTAATATTGATTTAAATACAGACACACAGAAGAAAAATGACTACAAGGTTGCATTAAATGCACTCAAACTAAAACGAAAATACTTATGAGTTACTAGGTCATTCATTAATCGATTGGGAGTAATTGGATGTAATATAGTAACAGACAGCTTTTAGCGGAAGCCTTGTCAAATTAAATTGAATACATCGCCTATTTGATTGGTTTAGCCACGCTTATTACATTAGTTAATTATTATTTCAACAAGTAGTGAATTATTACTGAGCAAATTTTGCAAATTTAGTATATGGTTAATTGCGGGCAAATCTATTACTTTAAACTTGTGTGTATTTATAATAATTCTCAGCTGTGGCTTTATTAAAAGTAGTCACAGTTTATTTTTTGCTTGATCCTTTCCTTTGTTATAGATTTATAAAATATATTCACTATAATAAATTTCTATCGCTCAGTTTACAGTTTTTCAGTTCGCAGACAAGGTGAATCTCTAATTTTTTTCACAAACTCGTTTTTCATTTTGGTGTTCTCAAGTTTTTGGCACAGTAGTCTGAACGGGGTTTTGCAAAATTCACCCACATATATTACTGAACTAACATACATGCGTTTCGTTCATCTTAAATATTGAGCAGATGTTTAAGGATATGCGAATGTGATTCAATTCGGAACAAATTAAAAGCGGGCAAATGCTGATGCTGATACGATTTCTCAATTTGAGGTTATCCTTTTAGTACTTTTTTCGTTTGTTAAACTCGTACAATTAAATTAAAGAGGTATGAAAATTCACTAACAGTATTTACAGGGATTTATCTAACGATAAACCAAAATGCCAAAGCACGAACTAAATTATTGCTTATATTTGGAATAGTGTCTGCTGCCCCGCATCGTGTCATCCGTGTAGCTCCCGCGTAGCTTAGTCCCTTAGTCCCACTCTCCCTCGTTGTCCGAGGATTCGGTCTCGTCCTCGTCCGAGTGGATGGCGTTTCCGCGTGCCGCCAGCGCCCGACGCAGTGCATCGGCCAGGGCGTCGGTGCCGCCTCCATTGTCGCTGTTCCGCTGGCTGCCCAGCTCCCGTTCCTTGGCCGGCTTCAACACTGTGCCCTGGCGAATGTCCTTCATTAAATCGCTGCGAGAGTCGCCGCTGCCAGTGCTGAGTGCAGACGTGTCCACTTTCTATTTGGATAAAATATGTTGAATTAGTTTTTTATTATTGTTATTATTTTAGAACTCTGCGCAGAAAGTAAAACTATAAAGAGATCTTGAAATAAAGCTTTTGTGTTATTTTGTAATTAATTAAACAAAAAATTGTTCCCAATGGAAAACTTTAAGTAATTTAATTTTTAGATTATAAAAAAGTGAAGAAATCTATAAAAATAAATTTAGCACCCGTTCATTCACCTTATTTAAAATGTAAAATTATATGATTTTAATTTGATTTCGATCTCTCTTTTTTATTTTCATTTCATTTTCTATTTAAACCAACAACTCAAGCATATTCAATTGATTACGTAAAAGTAATTAGTTTTCGAGGAGAAAGGGAAAACTATTTTTAGTTTTAAATCATTGTTATTACATTGAAATTAAAGAAAAAGTGTAATAAAACGGGAGTAAGCCATCAAAAGTGATTTAACTCACCTTCAGCTGGGTTCCCTTGCGAATGGCGTCCATAAGTGCGTTGCGTGTATCTGGAGCTCCTGGTGCTGCTGGAGCCGCTGGCCTGGCTGCTTGAGTGGGAGCGTGCGTGGTGGTGATGACTGGGATCTCTCCCACTGGCATGGGCGGGGGCGGTGGCGGTGGCACCGCTGCTGGTGGTGGCGGTGGAGGAGGTGGTGGCTGCCAAGGAAAACCATTTGTTAGTCGGCTATTTGAATCAAGTTATAATCGAGGATCACTTACCGCTACAACGGGTGCGCTGACTGGCGGCGGTGGTGGTGCGGTACTGATGGGTGGTGGTCTGCTGGGTGGTGGCGGAGCTCGAGTGGCGCCGGGCACAGTGGCGGGCACTGGAGGTGGTTGTCTCGCCGGCGGCAGCGGTGGTGCAGTTCTTTGGTTGCCATTCTGCAATGCAAACAAATTTGATTAGTTTTATGAGATAAACATTCTTGTCAAAATGTTTAATATAAATTACATTAAAAAAATAAATAAATATTACATCCACGAATTCTATTCAGCAATTCAACAAAATTCACTGCATTTAAGAGAAAAACATTCTTTGGGAGTATCCGTGTTCACATTAATACTCAAGGAAACTATTAATTTCATTTCCCATTTGGATTCAAGCCAACAATAAAAACTTAAAACCGGAAAATAGTTAAACTAAAAGGAAAACTAATTTAAGAGCAATTTGCTTTCACCATTTTTATCCAACAATAAAATTCAAAGCAGGCCTGCATAAAATTTCCTCGGGATATTTCCTATTCCCGTAAATACTCAACGGCAAATTGTTATTTTAAATTTAATTTATTTCTTATTTAAATTCGAACAAAAAATATAAATTGAAAACCGGAAATTGAGTTATAGTTAATTCGTCCAACTCCACATAATAAAAAATCTCTTATAAGGCTGCAAAAATTTCCATATTCACATAAATACTTAAAGGCAAACGATATAAATTTTGTTTCCAATTTGAATTGCAGAAAATTATTAAAATGTTACACTTGGAAAACCGAGCAAACTCAATGAAGCATTGTTTTCTTCCGCAAACTCTTTCCATGAGTAAAAATAATGGCAAAATTTAATAAACTGGCCTTTCCTATCTCGTAAAAGCGACTCAAGTGCTGGACCATGACATATTTTACGGATAAGCGATCAGCTTTAAATGATTTAGGTAAGAGAAAGGGAAACTCACAGAAGGATGACGGGTTGGCACCGGTGGCGGCACGGGAGGCGTTTCTTCCGTTGGCGACTCCACGCTGTCCTGCTTCACCGACGCCAGAACATTGTTGCTCTGTATGAAGTCGTAGATGAAGGCACGAGTGTCCCGATCCTTGAGCTCCGTCTCGGAGACACCGGCCTTGAGGAAGAACTCGTTCAGCACCTCGTCGTTCTCGTTGCCCGTCAGATCGAAGCCCTTGTCGGCATTCCAGCCCACGTGGCTAATGTGGACAAAGTTCGTCGGCTGGCTGATGTCCGCCTTGGTCACCTTGCGCTTGTTCTTGTCTTTCGCCTGGCCGCCACCCAGTCCAAAACCGCTGGACAGGAAGTTCTTCGTTTGCGCTGGCGCCGGCGTCAGTGTCACCGAGTTGATCTTGTTGTTCCGCAGCTGAACGTTCCCGCCATCCGTGGCGGACATTCCGCCCTGCATGGGCGGTGGCCTGGCCGGCTCCCGCTGCACTTGAGGCAGTGGCGCATTGGGTGCCTGCTGGCTCTTCTGCCGGTTGCGCTTATCCTGTCGCTTGCGATTGCGCGTCTCTATGGTGGCGTCCACAATGCGGAAGAACGAGTCGCACTCCTCTTCGGAGACGAAGTTCAGTCCTACATGGCCATCCTGGAAAATGATTTTTAAATATGTTTAATATCTGGGCAACTTTGTGTTCCTGCTTCTTAGCTTTGGTATGATTTGTTAAGATACTAAAAATCGATTTGATTTTTTGACTTTGTTCTTCACAAGTTTCTATCTTTATAAGAAGAGATAAAATTAAATAAATGGATACATAGACACTTAAGGTTCAAATTATAGAATTAGTTAAGCCTTTACTTGTCATTTAAATCAGAGAAAAAACTTACTAATACGCGTTATTTGAGATTTTAATTAAAAGTAGCTACGATATAATCTTTTTTTGAGATTTTTATAATCATTATAATGTATATATATTTATATAATTCTGAAATAATATTGATTTTGAGTTTTTATTTTGACAAATATCAGCTAATCTTTACATGGGATTTTTATTTTTTCTATCTCAAATAATCCGTATTTCGAATTTTAGTTTTAAAACATGAGAACAAAAACCACAATTTTTGTGGATCGCAGCTTTAAATGGAATACATTGAGTAACTTGAAAGCAAACAAATCAACTTAATGGTATGGATTTGATTTTAGTTAACACACAGAAATGAAAAGCATACTCACACTGCCCTCGAAGGTGAGGAGAAAGGGTCGCGACTTGACCACCTGCATGCCGTCGTATATCTCGTGCTCCCAGATCAACTCGTTCTTGATCAGGCAGTAGGCGCGCATGAAGTAGGATCGAATGGCGCTATCCTTCACGAAGCAGACGACTCCGGTGTGCCGCTTCTTCCAGTGGGCGTGGGCACTGCCCTCCGTCTTGTAGATCTGCACCACGGCGGTGTTCAGTGTCTGAAAAAAAAAAAGTGGAGCAGAGCAGAGATTGCGTTACACAAATTTTGACATCGATAGAAAGGCCCGGGGCGATTATCTAACAAAACGGCCGAACAAAAGAGCCTTCCACAACACCTTCAGTTTGCGCCTCATTTGAATGCAACTCTATCAGCTTTAGCAATCCGACGACCACGAACTCAATGAACTGTCGCGTTCGAGCTGAAAAACTCATCTGACTTTCGGTTTCGCTAGTTTCTGGCCATCGAGTCGATGGCCCCAAGTGAGTGTGGCTCTTTTGAATACCGATTAGCCGCCAGGCCAGCTCTTGCAGCAATTGCAACTGGCGATTCCACCGCTTGGCATGGTAATCACGTAGCTCCAGTTGATGGTAGGGCGTAAATCTAGTCGGTGGACATTAGTCTAGTGGAGACCTCTCCGCCGATCGGTGCGTATTCTGCCAAAGTGCAACGGAAACCCATAATGTGCACAAGAAAAAATAAGATAAACCTCACTTTTGTAGAAGATTTTTGGTTGAAAAAAAATATTATTAAAAAATAAAAGGAAAAACAATTTAAAAGTGGTCATAAAAAATACAAAAAAAAAAATGTTTTGGTGGTGTAGCTATAAAAGAACTCTCTTTTTAAAATATTTATATTAGGTCATTGACAGGCCAAATAACATCCTTAACTAAAATAATTGTGATATAGCTATTAAAGACCTCCTTTTATAGGACCTTTGTATACCCATCAATTTTTATTGGGCAAAATGATTAAAATGAGGTAACTTTCATCCCTAATAAAATCCAAATAAAAATGTATATATTATGTCCTGGCCAGGCTAAAGTCTTATACAAAAATCTTAACATTTTAATGTATATATGTATTCAAGAGATTCTACCTTTAACTTTTTTTTTGACGTGTGCCCATGTGTGATTGAAGACTACGTTTATGACCCAGACACAGGAAATGCTGGCGACAAACGAATAAGTGCATGATGCCGCATCAGTTTACTTGCCAAAACTATAGTATACAATAGACCACAAGATTTGGCGCCAGAAATGTCAAGGCAAAAGCTGTTCTTTATATACAAAAACCAGCGTGAGAATTTTCTCCACAAGGCCAATGAAATTACTCGAACTTTTTAGGCCCGATAAAAATGAGTGTGTGATTTGTGGCCCTAACATTTGGCATTTGCCCGAGGCCAAAGCGTGACCCTCCGCCGGAATCGTTTCTAATTGAATCAGCTTGATCCAAAAAAGTTACGTGCCATGTAATTGAAATTGAAATTGCAGGCAAGCAGTAATCCAACATTATCAATTAATGGACATTAGAGATGGATGGATGGATAGATGGATGGATGGATGGGTGGAAAGATGGCCATGCTGAAACTTGTGCAGCTGACCTTTGGCGCAAATATAAAAGAGAAAGAGACATTGACGAGCTAGTGGTTTAGTGATGTAGCTATGGATGTGTATGTGGAAGCTTTCCAACCCACACACAACTTTAAGTTGTATCTGGCAAGTGCGAAATTGTGAACACATTTGAATTTTTATTGATGCTTAGCTGCTGCTGCTTTTTACTCGGCGAGTTTTGTGTGTGGACATAAGTAGCATTGTAAAAATGATGTCTTGCCTTCTACGTACAAGCTGCCTGTTTCTTTTTAAAAGCATTAAAATCGATGGAAAAGCAGCGGACAACAAAAAGTGGTCATTGCCACCAAACGTTTGTGCTGGCCACAACACAAAATGTTGGGTTGAAGGAAGGGGGCGGGGTCTTAGCGGTAAAAATCAGCCCATATGGGCCGAGCGGTAAACATGCTCATACGCCCTGTGGTCCGTTTATTATGTCACATTATAAATAAACATTGTCCAACTATCTATTGATCCTATTTTATTCACAATATATTTAAAGAGCGTCAATTGCTATTTATAGAGTTTTATAAATACATGCAAATATTTATTTTTGCCACTTCCGTTGTTTATAAAATTCTTTAGAAAGTGATCATAATTAGCTACTTGTACAGTAAACAGCTTAAACAACTGCAAAAACAAGGGTTTTGAAGCTGACAAAAGCTAAACATCAATTAGAAAGTCCGGCTTTGCAGAAAAATGCGTTAAATAAGTGTATACAAATAAATGCGAGCAAATGTTGCAACAAACGACTGCCAAACCACAATAACAACATCGGGTTTACTAAGCTGCAGCTTTGAGTGTTATCACACAATGAATGTGACACTATGTCATACACAGAAAAAAAGAAACAATATGATGATAATATGAAGATTGATTGAATATTTTTACCGTTTTATAAAAGCTTGATCTTGAAAAATATGAAGCATTATTTTTCTTATTACCAGACAGCTGAACTTATGCAAAATAATGGGATTTATGACATAATTGCTAGATTTCTGGGTAACCTTTTATGAAGTTTCCTTATATCAATGAGATTGTGACTGTTTTTGTAGTATTTTAAGTCCATAAAAATGTACAAAAAAATATGAAAAATGGAAAAGAGAGCCTGTTATGATTGATCAAATGTTTCTCTCTGCGTGGATATTATGGAGGGGCTAACTACCTTAACCAGCCCGCTGGTTGCATTACTTTGGCAGAGTTCAAATGCATTTGGAAATGTTTTGTTTTGTCAATGGAAAGTTGCGAATTAGCAAAGCGTGAATTGCGAATCAAAATGAGCGATTTCGATTTTCTCATGTTGTGCACACACCATAATTATCCGCATAACGGCCGCCATTAAATGGCCACATACCACATACCATTTCCACTCCAATTTCAGGGCATTCTTATCGTACTTGGCGTTGGACGGTGATTCGCATTGGGCGGATGGATTGATAAGATAAGGTTCGCCTTTAGTTGGCCACAAATACCTAACGACTTATAGCGACCGTTCTGGTTTCTCTTTCATTTCGCAGCAAAATTGGCTTTGACACACCAAAAAATGGGGGAAAATAAAAAATAGCAACAAAATAAAAACTAAAACTAATCAAGAAATGCAAACAACTGCGTTTGTGGCCTATCAATGCCGGCTCAAGCCGTTTGCTAATAAAGATAATAGGCAATGCTAGGTAAATATTAGTAATACTAACGAAGTCTAACAAATTGTTCTAGCAACACTGCCCAGCACAAAATGATGATGATTCCACTGTAAGAGGAACGAGGGAGAATCCCTACTACTAGAACGAGTTTTGTCGCCATAAAAACTTCTTTCAAGAATTTATTAGTTCTTGCTCTGCTTTCTAATTTTATATATAACAATTAAAGGTCAATTCTTTTTTATTTATCAGCATAATAAAAAATGCTGTGTAATAATGAATCATGTCATTCAAAACACCAGCATTGACTCAAGCAGACTATATAGTTTAAAAAAAGTATTCACTTTAGAGATAGAGGCATTTTTTAACTTTTCAAGTAAACAAAATTTAAGAGAGCTACTAAAGAATGAGATGTTTTTGATTAATTACTATTGAGAGTTCGTAAATATTAGAATTAGAAGAGACTAAGGTCTGATTTCTCGTCCTACAGATATACACCTAATTTAACCAATTAACCAATTTTGCATTTTAAGACCTACTTTAAACAAGATTTATTTTTTACCTTTTTATCACTGATTTCTATTGAATTTTTAAGTTAACAAACTAACTTGTCTTACTAACATTTAGTAACTTGATAAGCCCATTTCCCAGAAGCTGTTCATGGGCAAAGCAACCAAGCAACCATTAGACTATGTTGGGTAGTGTGCAAGTAAAATTGGGTAAATAAGCCACAGCAACAGCTGCCTACCGATGATATAGGGTTACAGAGGTTCTGTTCTGCGAAGCGACGAATATTCGCACATGGTGGGGCGACACTTGAGCCGCAGGAAGTGCTTCATCAAGCTTTGGGATTAAACCGGTGGCGACGGAGGAGGAGCGAATCATGTCATTGCCTAATTATTAATCACCCAGAGTGCGGGGCATTATGCATCATCACTCACCTGACACTTCTTGCCCAGCAGCCTGAAGACGGCTTCATTTTCCTCCTGGGTGAGCAGCGAGCTGGCGGCATTGACCTTCGCCCGCGGACCGTCCTGCGACCTCATTCCGCTGCTCATCTGGTCGGAGTTGGAGTCGTTGGACCTGAATCTGGGTCTGGGTCTGGAGCTGGATCTGGGCTGCTTTCCCTGCACAATACGACACAACACGCATTTATTTATTGTATGGCGAAAACAATACGCAAATGAACAAAAGCTAAATGTATTAATTTAATAACACAATGCACAGCGAACGGGGACTCGATTCCATAAAAATAAAGATGATAACAATAAAGGCACACGGAATTACAGTTGAACTTCCATAAATCAAACATCCATCTGATTTGGCAACACAAGAGTTATGTTGTAAAATTGTCAATAGTAATATTACAACTTTTTGAGTTACGAAGGTTTATTTATTTTTCATAAAATTAAGCAATTGATTTTAGCTAAGGTCAAGAGTACGAGCGAGAATAATATTTTAAATGATTTCGAGTGGGAGAAGTTATGGAAGTTTGACTGTATTTCCAATAAGTTAAGCAACTGTATTGGGTTTTGGGCCTTCCAATTTCTTATAAAACGAAGGTATTAAAAATGAATTTCTTTGAATATTTAGTAAGAGAATTTCAATTTATGGAAGTTTGACTGTAGGCTAAGCAACTGCATTTGGATTGGGGCTTTCGAATACGTTTAAAAATCGTTTGGTATTATCGGTTTTGGCTTTATAAAGTGACACTTTTTAACCGAATTACGGCCAAGAGCGCGAGCGAGAGAGACCTGCGTTGGCTATGACGATATGGCTGGTTATGATGGAACTGCGAGCGGATCGCTTTGGATCGGATAGGTTGGGTCTGAGTCCGAGTCTGAGTCACGGGTCCCCGAAGTTGGAAATCAGTAACAGAAGCAGAAACACAAACAGAAACAGTCAACCAGCTGCGTTTGAATGTGGGTAAAAGCGAGGCAAACTCTTTGGAAAAGACCACAGGGCGGCCTTATCTTTTGGCGAAACCACTGATTAGATGTGCGCATGTATGATACATGCACACTGGTCTGGGTTATTTAATGTTAAGCACTCGGGGAACATCGAATCGAAGATGCACCTGTCCGTCTCGCCAGGTGGGGTAAAATCAAAAACAAGGGTGAATAGACCCCGATGGGGTATATCTAAGCTCAAGGTCTCTGGGGGCTTGCATTCTCATGCTCGCAGTTCTGCAAGGGGGGCCATTGATTTTTTTGCGTTTATTTTCGTGCACTTCTTCACTCTTCTGTTTCTTTTTTTCCCACACACACACACCACACAATCTCTGCGCACTGCTTGAAGCTTTCTGGCCTCGCTGACTCCGGTTAGTTTTAGGGAGTCTCTACTGTTCGCGCGTCCGCGTCATCCGCTGCATGGTCGAGGATTTTCTACGGGGAAAATTGGCTTGTTCACGTTCTGCAAGTTTGTTTATTTGGCACTCAATTCATTTGCACACCCACCCAGAGTTGGAGGTGGTAAAACCTCGATACAAACATCGATATATTCACAATATAGCTAGTATCGATGTTTGGCGGGAGTTATCGATATACGAACGATTCAATCGATATACAAACGTACTACTCAACGGGCTTACGTACGTAATCAGTTTTACCATTTGAAAATATCAATCTACTTTGTAGTTTTATAGTTTTAATATTATCTAAAATTAAATAAGAATTCTTAAAACACAAACGTTTAACTTAAATAATATTAAAAATATACTTTTAATAAAAGGGGTGATTATCAGTAGCGTGTCTATGGGCTTTGCAATGTTTTCCTCAAAGGACTTACGTTAGGTAAACATAGCAGTTTAAAATTTGAATTTGTTATACCAGCTAATAAATAAGACTTCTTAAAACATAAAGCTTAAAGAATTTTAAAATAAAACACATCATTTCCAGAACTTAATTATAAAATTTAAACCATTTATACAAGATGTCTTCTTTGTATTTGTATAGATCGAATGGTTCAGAATGGTTCAGCTTCAAGCCTTTAAAAATAAAAAACAAAATAAGTTTTAGATTTATGAAGAACGGATACTTTTGAAAGGAGGTCCCATCTTCAATAGCTAATCTTGAGCCACGGTTGATCCCTGGGCTTGTAGTCCTCCTCCGCCCACCGTAGCAGGTGAAACATGACCGCCAGCAGACCCGTGCCCAGGGCATCCCCCACGGCGGTCAGATACGGAATGGCGGCCGTGTCCGGGTCGATCTTGCGACGCCACAGCAGATGTACCAGGGCGTGGGCCAGCCACAGCAGGATGAGCAACTGCAGCAAACTGGTGACCACAAAGGCCACCACGAAGACCCACTTCACTGAGACTTGCGCCACGCGGAGATAGTCGGCCAGGATGACGAGCACCACATTGCCCGGCACAGAGATGGCGATCAGGACACGGGTCACGCGCGAGTAAACGGTGCCACGAAAGTAAACCCGATGTGGCCACTCCAGGATGCGGGAATCGCCGGGCAGGATGCCCAAACTAGAACGACGGTACAGGACACTGCCCATGTGACTGGCCTGCACGGACACCAGATTGCCCCCAATCCCGTTTATGATGGGTGAGAAGATGGCAAAGGCCCGGAAGTCCTCCACGGAGGAGCTGAGCACGAATCCTGCAATCTGGCTAATGCACAGTGCCCCGACCACCGGTATCCAGCTGACCATCAAAATGGGTCGCACATAGACATTCCGCAGCACCACCGCCAGCCAGACGGGCATCATGAGCACCACATAGCCGATCACCACGCAAATGGCAATCCACAGGTGCGACTGGGACAGATCGTACATTAAGGCGGCGCTGAAGGAGAGCAAACTTATGGTGACCACATCGCCAATCGAGGCCACTATCGGTATGGCCATGTAGTCCGGATTGAAACTGTAGTGCTGCGAGAACAGGATGACGACCATCACAATGGAGTCGAGCAGGAAGCAGGAGGTGCTGGAGGTGATCAAGGCGGCGGCAGTCAGCACGGGATAGTGCTCGACGCTGAAGTCCTGGTTGACCGCCGCACTGATGCCCGCCGTCAGGGTGCTCAGCAAAACGGCACAAACAATGGCCTGCAGCTGAACCAGGGCCATGTTGCCCACCATGATCTGTAGCACGGCTTTTCGGCTGGACAGGTGACCCAAATTCGAGTTGGTGCAAATCCTCGAGGCCACGCACATGTCCAGATTACCCTTCAATCCACACAGCACCGACACCAGGACGAACAGCTCGTTCACCTCACGGTACACCAACCAATCCTGCACATTGCCCAGCATCAATCCGGCCGTAATCGTGCCCAATCCGGCCAGGAAGAACGGAATCCCGAGCTGAATGAGCGTCGAGTACCAGGGCTCGTGCTCGCCATCCTCAGGCGTCATCTTGGACACCTGCTCCTCCGTTACATCCGTCATTCCTCCCCGAGGATTTTATAAACATAGCAAGACAGTGTTTGAATAATTAACTTCCCTTCGAAGATTCACCAACAAAAAACTCAATTATTTTTATATTTTTTTTTACGACAATTTTCTGACTTTAAAAACTCAAAAATTTGTAGATTAAATGCCTGGCTTTGATCTCGTTTTCTAAAACGAATTTAAATTTTCTTACAAAAATTAACAAAAACTTTAATTGAAAAGTGTTTAGATATATTTTTATCTTCGTTTGTTAAAAATTAAAGTTTTTTTCCTTTCGAAAATTGACTATTTTATTCGAAAAATGTTTACAATAGGTCTCTGAATCGCTGAAATATGTAGAAATAATTCCTGAAACGTTTTATAAATTTAAGTTCACTGCTAGCTCTGTTTTCGTTTGTTTAAAATAAGACCTTAAGATCTTGTTCCATTATAAATAAGGTCTTGAATAAACTACTAATTATTTTTTTTTATTATTTACTGACAAAAATCATATCTAACATTCATGTAACTAAAAATTGTTTAAAGCACAAAAAATATGTAAATGTTATTCCCGAAACGTTCTTCGTTTGCCAAAGAGAAATAAGGACTCGAATAAATAAATTTCACATTTGTTTTTATTTGTATTTGCTGACAAAAAGCATATATTTCGATTTATTAATATTAAAAATTGTTAATCGCATTGGATCGTTAAGAACTAAGTCGCAAATGATTGGCTTAATACAAAAGCTGTTTTCTAAAACTGTTTACCCTTAAGAATGCTAAATTATATAAAAGAATACTTAAAAAGCTGTGACTACAAAAAGTGGTTTTCATTTCTCTCCTTGAAATATTTGGTTTTTGCATAAGGAAGCCAAGGGCAGGTTAAACTTATAAAATATAATCCCAACTGAATTTCACTTTGGGATTATGCGATTGTAATTGATTTAAATAGTTGCACCCTTTTTTTTTTTTGAGGCAACTCTTTCTAACTAATGTTGAAAGTTAAATGAAAATTCAGTAACCCTTTCTAATTGATGTGTGTCAAATCGAATATATATCAATTATATATATGCCAGTATACATTTTGTATATATAAGGGAGAGTTGTTGTACATATGTTGAAAGGCCTGACCTAGTGTATATAATATATATGCAATACATTTGGCTACACACGATCGGGAACCGAATGGCTCCCTCTCCGACTGTGATTTGGATTAGTTGAAGTTACTAGGAGGAGTTTTGCATTTTGCATTTGCGCTAACTCTATGCTAGACTGGTTTAGTTGCTTACAAAGTTTAGGGACTACATGGTATATTATGTATATAAAGTAAGGGGAGAGTAGTATATGGATTACATTGTATATATATTGCCTCCTAGCCTAAAAACTCTTTGATTTCAACTCGGACCCTAGCGTTGCTTGTGGATGTGGACCTGTGTGCGTCTTCCGTTTCAAATAAAATGCTTGTCCTGATCCAGTCTCCACATTGAACTTGCCTAATTTGTGATAATGTGTGCCTTATTTCCGAGCTCCTCCCACCACTGGCAACTTGGACTTGACTGCTGATGTTCCTCCTGCTGGGGGATTTGGATTTGGGGTATTATCAAAGGTGGAGCTGCGCAGTAGCGTTGGCTTTGCTCCATTCCCGTTGAGCGTGTTGGAAGATTTGGTTTTCTGCGACTTAAGGTTGCTGGCTCCAGTCTGCTTGGTCTTGGCCTCGTCCACTCGCTTCCAGATGTTGGCAATTCGACTCTGGGCCTGGTTGATCTTGGCCGCTGCCGCTGCTGCGGCTGCACTGCCTCCATTCAGATTGGAATTGCTGCGGGATGGCGGCGTTGTGGACGACACTCGATTGGAAACGGCACGCGAGGCAGCCGTTGACTTGGCTCCGGCCAGGCGCAAACTGGTGTTGGCTCTTTGTGGCGTCACCCCGCGACGCACTGCAGCTGGAGGAATCCTCTTGGGCGAGCCACCAGCTTTCGAGGGCGAATCCTTCTTTGTGGGCAGCTTGGAGGCGCGATGACCGGGACTGGTCGTTTGAGCCACTTTAGCTTCCACCACGGGCACCTGCACCTGCGAGTTGGTGGGCTCATCCTTGACAAACGTTCCCTGACGTTCCAGGCGGGCGGGTGCAGCCACTTCCGCTGGCGGATTGCCCTTCTTTTTGACACCATTGGGCACCACACTGCGCTTGGCAATTGTGGGCGATAGGGTTTTCTTTTTGGCCATGCCCGCGGCATTTGCTCCACTCCTCTGACTTTGCATGCTGTACGGTGACACATAGGCTGGTTTCTTGCGACCCTTTACCAACTTTACGGCCGTGGCGGGCTCTAGAGTTTTGGGTTTAGCCGCAGGGGATCTGAGTTCCACCAGTGGCGGAGGAGGAGGCAACTGAGCTGGCTCCTGGCCTTCGCAAGACTCCGTTTCCGAGTTCTGATCACATTCCGGAGATTCCTCTAGCTCGACACCAGGATCGGTGGCCCCCTGGGCCTGGCCAATGTTGATGTCAGTGATGTAGGTAAACTGCTGCATCATGGCCCGAATGGAGGAGAGCTGCTCGCTGGGGCAATCATCCGCTTGGGGTTGAATCAAGGCGCGCGGACACTCAATCAACTGGGTCTTGTACCGCTCCGCACTGCCCCTCCTCCTTCCGTTGGCACGTGGCGAGGGCGTGGCCACTGCCGGAGCAGTCTCGACAATCTCAATCTGCAGGGTTTCATTGGGCTCCATGGCCTCCATGGCCTCCATTTCCATCTCGCAACTGGTGGCTATGGTGTAGGTCTTGTAGCGATCCTTGCTCAGACGCCGCTTCTGTTTGGGCGTGAGGGAGCGACGATTTGGCGAGGGTGTGGATCCCTGCTTGGGCGTGGATTCCGCCGAGCTGTAGTCATTCATGGTGGCATCTTCGTCCTCGTCAAAGCAGCTCTGCAGAATGGTTATGGTATGATCGTCGCCGGCAGCCGTCTCGTAGTTGGACACCGAAATGGTGGTGGCCATGCTGCATGCATCCTGCTCACCGTCGGCCACCTCCGACTGGATGCTGTCCACACTGATCATGGAGTCCAGCAGCTCGTCCATCAGTGAGGGCGGCTTGATGTTGTCCAGCAGATTGCAGCTGGAGTTGACGCTCTCCGCACTGCCAGCCAAATGGCCAAGTGCTCGTCTGGCCACCAAATTGGCTGGGAACATTTTACGCGCAAATCTGGGACTCTTGCTGGGCAGGAGCTGCTGCTGCTGCTGGCGCAACGAACTCGGCTGGGAGTGCTCCTGGTAGCAGCTGTTCAACGATTCCATGCCCGACGGCGGACGCACATTGTCCAGATCCAAACTGTTGAGGCTAAAGGTCATCTCCTCCGTGTTGTCCTCATCGTTGGCGGCAGTAGGCTGGAGAAGGTTTTCCGCCAAAGCCCTGGCCTCGAACGCTATCATGGTGGAGTTGGTCATCATGGAGGCACTGGTGCCATTGAACAGCAGCCTTTGTGGCTCCAATCGAACGCCAGCGTTCTGCACTTGTCCGCCCAACTGGAAATTCAGTCCACCCGATCCCGAGTAGCTCCTCTCCTCATGTCCGTTCACCAGGGTATCCGTTTGGCCTTCCAGCGATATCGGCTGCTGCTCATTCGTGGGCGTAATCTCTGCCAGCTCATGCACACGCTCTGTGACACGATCTTCATCCAAGCTCAGGGAAGCCAGAACCGGTGCCGTTTGACTCACACTGGGAAAGCTGACGTCATTGGGACAGGTGTGCTCGTTCCAGGTGTTGGTGTTGCTGCTCGTGGTGTTCTTTTGGCTGCTGCTGCTCCTTAGCTGCTCCGCCGAGGTGACAAACTCCATGGTGAGTCGCTCCACGGACTTGAGCATCAGGTCTGGATCCTTGTGCTTCTCGCTGGCCCCAGAAATGCAAGTTTCGTGGGGCGCCGAGTCCAACCTGACCATGGTGTCCATGATGAAGGACTGATTGGACTCATCACTGGAGCGATCCTCCGAGTCCAGCTGATCCTTAGACCCAATAGCGGTCTCTAGATCGTTCTGATTCCCGCTCCCTGGATCTGGAGCTGCTGGACTTCTTGCTGTGTCGGTGACGGTGGCGATGGCGTCGATAGGACTCGGGCTGAGGATGAGGCTGCTCGGGTGCCGACTGCTGGTATTGGCGTGCACTTTCTGCTCTACGTCTGGAGCTGCTGCTGTGCTGGGGGCACTTGCTGATGTAGTAGCTGCCATTGGGTGACACGGTTCCAATGCAGCCGCAGACGTAGCCAGGACGTTTTTTGGCACGGTGCTGGTGCTGCTGTTGTTGCTGTTGTTGTTGTTGCCAATCTTCTTGGAGATGCCCGTGTTGATGCACTCCTGCAGCAGCTTCTCGTCCTTGCGCTCTCGCTCCCGCTCCCTGTGATGATGGTGATGCTGATGCTGATGCTGATGATGATGATGGCGCTGCCGCTTGGGCTGACCACCACCACCTCCAGATGGCAACTGCACCGGCAACGAATCGAACTGCTTAAGATTGGGATTCGACTGGGTGGAGCAGGATGCCGATGCGGATGCTCCAACAATGGGTTGCTGCTGCAGCTGCTGGGCCCTCGCTCCGGGTTCCTTCGACTTGTACATGCCCTTCAGAATGCACAGCTCGAACAGCGACTTGGACTGGTTGTCATTGGAGTCACTGGAATCCACGGAGCTGTACGACTCCTGCTGCTGCTGATGCTGCTGATGCTGATTCTTGCGCACTGTCATCCCCGAATTGAGGGAACTGGCCGAGGTGGCCGCATTGATGGCTATCGGCTGCGAGGAGCTCAGCGAGCTGGAGCGCTTGCCGTTCGAGCTGAAGCCAAGATTCGATTTCGGTCTATTGCAGCCAGCGGCAATAGCCTGCAAGCAAAGGTTTTAAACATGGTTTTAGACTCGTTTAATTAAAGGTGTTGTTTACAACTTACCTGACTCAGTAAATTGGTGTCATCCTCCGAGTCAATGGATAGTGAACTCAGCGAATCATCTTGCCAATGCGGCGGTCTTCGGACTTG